GGTACCCATTTGGAAAAAGAACAAAAAGATTTGTGGGGCGTCTTCTATATTTTGCAAACCCCTTTTCATCAATGACAGTTGCGTGGTACATATCTTTTGGAAAGTGTTTACTGCATGATTTGTCTTTGTTATCCCGACACATTCTTACTTTACCATGGGAATCAGTTAAAGAATACTACAGTGGGGTATGCATCATATGTTTTGTAATTGTTTTGTAGGCCTTAGGAAAACGAATAGGATCAGGGATTTCAGCAGAAATATATTTATCAATATCGCGAGGAGTATGTAGTTTAGAACACTCAGCAAGGATGATTACAACATGGGCGTGGGGTAGACCACGTTTCTGATACTCAATAACATGGATTAAGCCCTTAACTTTTCCGAATATCATTTTATCTTTGATATCGATGAATATTTCTTTTAGTTTTAAGTCGAAAACTCGGCAGATTAAATCGGGTCGATCCGAAGGGACCTCACCTGGTAACAACTCATCAACAATTTCTTTCCAATTTGGATTGCAAGTAATTGTTACAAATAAATCTGGCTTTCCCAGCGCTCTAACAACAGCCATGGCATCCTGTTGCATTTGATGTAGGGCCCTTGGCGAGCCTGTATGGCTGGAAGGTAAAATAACTCTCTTGCCAATCGATTCTCTACTCATATCAACACCTACTTGCACATCCGCTAATCCAGAATACAACTCAGAACGTAAAATACTTTGATTCGTACGTAAGTAATACAATCGACGGCCTTCAATTTTGCAATACATATCCACGATATACAGATGAAACAATCTACCAAAATGACATGTCATTGTTTCTCCAGGTCGTACTTGCAATCGATGCTGGTAAAATTGATTTAATGACACCGATTTTTGTGTCATTCGGTTACTGCTTAAACTCTGCTCATCCCTTTCTTGATTTCTTTGAATGACCTCATTGTCTAAATTCAGTTCCAAATTAGTGTTCCATCCGTCATCACCTCCAGGGAACATCAATGCAAAATGTAAGGAATCGTATGAACTGTGACAGTCATTCATTTTTTTGGGAAATCCATTTACAGTTGAAAAGACGACGACTTCTCTACTACCTTTCGTGATTTCATCCGGTACTGTTGCATCCGCAATATATGCTGCAACTTCGTCTGCAATAGGCACATCGTATTGCCGACCAAGTCCAGGGTTTCCACGTACATAAACATACAAATCTTTGACACCATTTTGGCCATCAACTGTGTTTGCCGAAAATCTTTGTCTAGCATTTTCAAAAAGACTGGCATACGGTGATACGTCATCCATCATTTGATTCAACTGAGCAACCAACTGACGATCCAAAACTTCATTGAAATCGATATGCTGCTGGACGCGTAAGTTAGGATCACTGAAGTAAACCTGAGCAAAAACAGGCTTTCTACCTTCACTGACAGTTAATGGGGCAGATCGGTGGTAAGTTCCTCCTTGGATTCTGAACGTGAACGATCCTTGATTTGATCCACTGAACATCTCATCCTCGTGATCGGCTCCAAATGAGGTAAATGCAAAAGCATTATTGTACATTCTGATATTTTTTCTGAACTCAGTACTGGTAGGATGCTCACCTGTCAAAAGTTTTTGCATGAGAATGGTTGGCATAGCTACGATATCAATTTTGACTTTTCCATTACTGCAGCAAAAAGAAAATTTTTGATTGGTCGCTTGTTCTTCTTTAAACAGCATAGCATGGCAATAAGGGCATCTTTCTGTCATCCCTTGTAAATTATGGCGTCCATAAAAATCTGAAGTTGCATCTCCACGGTATATACCTCTACGCTCACGAAGAAGATTTGCCTCTTCAAAATTTTCATGATAGGCACGATTTAGGTCATGATCTCTGGCTAAAAAAAAAAAAAAAAAAAAAAAAAAAAGGTTCAGAATACTTGTTTTTGCGTTCATTTTCTATTTTACCTGTTGAAGAAGATGTTGGTTCACTTTCTGGATCAGTGTTGCTGGTAGCGTCATTCTGGATCTCAGGGTCTTCGTTCGAGTTTCTATTACCGTTACTGAATCTCGGAGCTCTGGGAATGTTGATTCGACTGGAGTGTCTTCCACCTCTGGGATTAGCTGACTCTGCTGCATTGAGTCTTGCTCTGCCTCGACGTCGTGGACTACTTCCATCGAAATGAATAAATTCGTGATCACCAATGTTAGACATTTGTTATTGTTCGTGAAAAAAGGGGCTGAACAAAGTTAACGCTTTTTTATTTTTTATTTATAGTTGTGACACCCAATGTTCGGAAACAGCTAATCAATAATTTTTTTTCACTCAATCTTTTATGTACTGTGTTGGTCGGGACTTACAGCCCCTCCCAGCGCACTCAATGTTAATCATTATTTTTTTAACTCAATGTTTTATGTACTGTGTAGGTCGGGACTTACAGCCCCTCCCAGCTCACTAAATGCTAATCATTATTTTTTTCACTCAATCTTTTATGTACCGTGTTGGTCGGGACTTACAGCCCCTCCCAGCTCACTCAATGCTAATCATTATTTTTTTCACTCAATGTTTTATGTACTGTGTAGGTCGGGACTTACAGCCCCTCCCAGCTCACTCAATGCTAATCATTATTTTTTTCACTCAATGTTTTATGTACTGTGTAGGTCGGGACTTACAGCCCCTCCCAGCTCACTCAATGCTAATCATTATTTTTTCACTCAATGTTTTATGTACCGTGTTGGTCGGGACTTACAGCCCCTCCCAGCTCACTCAATGCTAATCATTATTTTTTTCACTCAATGTTTTATGTACTGTATAGGTCGGGACTTACAGCCCCTCCCAGCTCACTCAATGCTTATCATTATTTTTTTCACTCAATGTTTTATGTACTGTGTAGGTCGGGACTTACAGCCCCTCCCAGCTCACTCAATGCTAATCATTATTTTTTTCACTCAATGTTTTATGTACTGTGTAGGTCGGGACTTACAGCCCCTCCCAGCTCAGTAAGTGTTTATTATACTCATACATGTCTGTTGCTTCGACCTGCGCTTCGCTTGGCCGCGCAAAAAAAAAAAAAAAAGAACAGTCCGAATTACTAAATAAGGTATATACTGCAAAGTCAAAACAATCATTATAATATTGATTGATCAGTATTATTATTATTATTTTGACCCTGTTGGTTTCCATTGGCCATATCCTGAAGGATCGCATCAACAAGTCTTGTTGTTTCCCTGTTACTTTAAGCAAACAGTTCTGCCAATCGATCACTACGTGCAAGTAATGCAGCATTGGCCTCCCGACTATACTGAAGAAAGGACTGAAAGTGGTTGTCCCTTTCCAAAGCTTGAGTTTGTTGCACGCGGTCCAAGACACGCAACATGCTGTTCTCGATGCGTTGTTCAGACGCCGATGGTAAAGGCAACATCGAAGCTACTGTTACCTGGGTAGGTTGAAAGGGCTCCGATGCGCGTGCTGGTGGTGCTGTTGGTGCTGTTGGTGCTGTTGGTGCTGGTGCTGTTGGTGCTGTTGATGCTGGTGCTGGTAGTGTTGCTGGTGTTGCTGGTGGTGCTGTTGGTGCTGGTGATGGTGGTGTTGCTGATGTTGCTGGTGCTGCTGTTGGTGCTGGTGCTGTTCGTGCTGTTGGTGCCGTTGGTGCTGGTGCTGATGGTGCTGATGGTGCTGATAGTGCTGATGGTGCTGATGGTGCTGATGGTGCTGATAGTGCTGATGGTGCTGATGGTGCTGATGGTGCTGATGGTGCTGATGGTGCTGATGGTGCTGATGGTGCTGATGGTGCTGATGGTGCTGATGGTGCTGATGGTGCTGATGGTGCTGATGGTGCTGATGGTGCTGATGGTGCTGATGGTGCTGATGGTGCTGATGGTGCTGATGGTGCTGATGGTGCTGATGGTGCTGATGGTGCTGATGGTGCTGATGGTGCTGATGGTGCTGATGGTGCTGATGGTGCTGATGGTGCTGATGGTGCTGATGGTGCTGATGGTGCTGATGGTGCTGATGGTGCTGATGGTGCTGATGGTGCTGATGGTGCTGATGGTGCTGATGGTGCTGATGGTGCTGATGGTGCTGCTGTTGTTGCTGGTGGGGATGTGGCGGCTGTTGACACACGGGGTGTATCTAATCTGCGTCTTGCAGTGGGAGGTTGATCTTGTTCACCGACAGCAAAGATCCTCCCGGAACGTACATTACCTGCCGTTGCAGGATGGGTATCCACAGTACTTAACACATCGTCTGCAGTGTTCGTATGGGCAGTATTCGGGCTAGGATCACCAACAACCTCAGGCTCCAAATTGTCATCAACCTTAGGAGCATCTTCAATTCTTGTTCTAAACTCCCCTGAAATTGAAGAATAAGTGACAGGTGAAAAATATGAAGGTAAGTCTTTAAGAATGCTATATAATTTGTCATAAATGATAGAACGAGCGGGTGCTGCTTGTCCAGTAGAATCACGGGTGGCGTAATTTTGTTTGAAATCCTACAAAAGATTTGACCACTTGCTTTTCAACTGTTCGTCGCTCCGAGGAGCACGTTCAACATTTGCTGCATGAAATTCAATCGCAAGAAGGTCAAAAAATTCATTTTTTTCCGCCAAGCTCATAGCCGAATCCATAGCATGAAAGTGCTCATTATACCTTTCCATAAGCAACAAGGTCTCCGCTTGTCCCCATCCAGATCCCCTGAAGCATTGCCAGCCGTCGAAATCATCTTCATTTTGGCTTCAACTTCCACGTCCACGTCCACGTCCACTTTGACGTCCACGTCCACGTCCACGTCCACGTCCACTTTGACGTCCACGTCCACGTCCACGTCCACGTCCACTTTGACGTCCACGTTCACGTCCAAAAATTCCAGTCTGGCTGCTCGCAAGGTGACCATCAATAAAGTAAGAAGCAGTATTTTGGTTGTTCCTTTCTCAAATAGGCAGAGGCAAAGGTAAAGTATGTTTATTTTGATAAGAATACAAGAAAGAAAAAAATAACATTGGCCTCTGTGCCATGTACAAATTACAGTTTAGCATTTTCTCAAAATGAACTTCTGTTTTTTCTGACTTTTTATTTTAATTAAAGGATTTATTTTAATATTTTAAAATAATTTGCTTGGGAACACCCAAAATATTTTTGTTAAAATCAAGATTTAAAATTTTAAATAAGTTGTTTGGTGAACACCCAAAGTACACCAAAAAATTGAACTTCCGACAGTTTAAAATTAAAAATGTTTCAAGCTCCGAGGTCCACCGTATAAGCTTATCGATCACAAAAAACCACATCATAGAGCATCAACCCCTACCATGTTTACAGGTAAATCGGCGTCGTAAAAGAATATCAAGAACTAGCAAATTATTCCCAAAAAAGCCCTTATACCCTTTGGTCAATTTCTGCCGATATTATATTCATACCAACAATATAAAGTATTTGAACAGTGAATCTTCATGCCCTCTGTGGCCAAACAGGGAAAGCGAGCAGCATGCATCGACGAGAGTGTATGTTCGACACCCGAGTACCTGTTTGTTTTATTGCTACATTTTTTTAATTTTTTTAATAGGGCTAAAAATGGCCCAGGCTTAGGCTTTAAGATTTTTTTAGGTGCACGTAGCAAGCATATTTTAAACTTTGACAGCCAATTACTCGCGACCCTGCGGTGCGATTTTTTTCTCTTTAGCATATTCTTGTTTAGAATTTCCAGGGCTTTCAGAAAAAGTAATTTATGTTGGCCGGCATATTTCTCAGGAAGCCTCTTAATGATAACAATTCTAGGAATAATTAAACTATTGATATGTAGTTAAAAAAATTCTTTGCCATTCGACAAATATTTTTCCATTTTTGTTTTACGTGTCCTTTTTTCCAATTTTTCTCCGCTTAAAACGAAATCGTGTTAGCGTCTTTTTAAATTTTAGGATTAATTTGGAGATGTTACTTAGTCTATATATGTGCTTGCGGTCATTCAGTATGGTTTTTGAAAGTATTAATTGGTATTATAGTCATTTTTCAGATATTTTATAAAGTAATTTTTTCTCTACTCTATTCATTGATATTTTACTTAGCTCGTGTGTCATTTATATTTTTTTTGTAAGATTCGAAACCCATTCCAATTTTCAAACCGTTGTTAATGTTACTGTATGCTTTGAGTTTTGCTTCTACAGGAAATGAATGAGTTACACGTACAATCATTCCAATAATATTGCTGGCGCATTACCTAGACTGTTAAATAATGCGCCAAAACAGAAGAGACGATGCACGACGCGTTTCACTTGCTGCTTCTTTACAGGTATAATACAAAAGGCTGCTGGTGTTGTATACACGAGTCATCAAGTCATTTGGCTTGTCTATGTAGACAGGCACACCTAATATAAAGAGATCCCTCCTGGTCATCTTTTTTTTCAAAAAAGTTAAAGAGCCGTGCAACAGTAGAATGTAGCAATAGTTCTTTTTGTTTTGCTGGAGTAAGAGAGGGATAAATCTAACCACAAATGAGGCCATAGTACAGTCGGTTTACATCGATTTTGTTTATTTTTGAGTGATTGAAAAAAGATTCCTCCCCCAAGCTATGAACTCAGTGATGTATGGATAAGACAGCACAGAGAAAGAAGGTAGTGTTTTCTTTTCATGATACAGTAGTCGCTCGATTTAAGGGTGTTCGATTTAAGGGTATTTTCTATTTAAGGGTGGATTTTGGAAAAACAGCTTCCGTCCCCAGCATTAACACCACTAAACCACTATTCTATTTAAGGGTGAGATTCCAATTCCCCATACCCTTAAATCGAACGATTTGACAGTGTATTTTTGACTTTTTTCTAACTTTTTGATCAAATTTATTGAATGTCCGAATAAAAATAAATATTTCGCAGTAATGATCATATTTCACGGTTAAAAATGGCGTAGTGACTTCTGTTTAAAATAGTCACGATTTTCGATTTAAGGGTATTTTCTATTTTAGGGTGAGATTTCCGAGATTTTTGGTCACCCTTAAATCGAGCGACTACTGTATTGAAGACTACAAGCAGTGTTATTCTTTTATACTGGTAAAAAAGGTCCTTGTAGAGTAGATGGATGAAAGAAAGAACAAGGAAATAAGAGTCCTTTTTTTTGGGTGTTATAATTATAAAAATGGCATGGGTGTTCTTTCGCAACTTTATTTTCTTCCTAGGACGGTATGGCTGTAGAGAGTGTTGGTGAAAAACGTGTTCAAACGTGCCTTTTTTAAATGTTTCTCTTTTTACCTTTACGTTTTCTTCACATCAGATTTTACACCCTGGCGCATCAGAACTTATAATAAAGGACGCAGACCTAAAGAACCCTGTCCCATCACTAGATTCCTCCTTTACACATAAAGCTGTTTTCTTATACCATATCTGGCAGTACAAAGGGTGTAGATAGTTATTTTAAAGGATACGTAAAGATTTGAATAATGTGGCAGATGAAAGAAAAGAATAAAGAAAAAGAAAGAACCGGGGGGATAGATGACGTGTGTGCAGATTTTCTGCTGGCCATTGATTTTGCTTGCGCCAGTGCGCATACACGACTTTCAATTTACATTATTTGCTACTTGTTTCGTTTGTTCCTTCTTTACATACCGACATGCCTCCCATACCCCTTTTATCAGTCATAGAGGTTACATCAACGTTCTAAATTTTATGGCCCTTTAGATATTAATTAAACTATCAATATAAAAATAAATGAAAAAGATTACCTAGACTTGTCATTTATTTTCCACTTTATACACCTGTCCTTCGTTCCTTACAATGACTTATATCTTTATTTAGCTTCAACTTTTTTTTAACATAGAAAAGACGTGACATGCTCTTGTTCCTGTTTTCCTTCATTTAAAATGCATTTTATGCTTCGTGTTTAACGCCAATACGCCTTCATCCTATTTATCATGACATACACGATAGTAGCATACGTTCATCTTTACAAATTGCACCAAGACCTGTCTTAAAAAGATCAGCTTCTCGGTCAATATTTGATATATCCTTTTACTGCTAGCGTTGTTCACTTTACTATACCCCACTGAATCTTTCTTTCATTGTTCAATATTATTCTTTACTTGTTCATCATCCTTCTATGTAAACAAAATGAATCTATCATTACTGTTTAAAGTGAAACCCCCTTCATAAAGAATCTACTGAAATAAGAGTATACGAGTAGTATTGGCGGGATAAGGAGTAATTCTTTAAATAAAATAGAGTTTAGTAAAGAAGGTCTTTATAATTGCGAGTTGAGTGAGCACCACAGCTAGTTTAAACAGAAGCTGAACTGTTAGAAAATAAATGGATTTAAGTATAGCTTATATGCTTATAAATAAAAGATGCAATGATAAAAGTGTAATCAAGGGATCAATCAGAATGATAATAGAGCTGAATAATATATAAAACTAATAAGTCAAAGTGTTGAAATATGAGTAAATTAATAGATGAGGATTTTTATTTAGGAGAGGTCTTATGGATGCCTATTTATAGTGATGGACGTATAATCCAGTCACTGAAATTAAAGAAATTGGGGAAATTTATAGAAGAGATTGAGGTAATTGCGCCTACTAAGAGGTCACAGATCTGAGGATAAGAAAAAGATGAAAAGAAGTAGTTTTGACAGGTGCAAACCCGAAAAGGTGTATTGCACTTTAGTAGGTGTTTAAAAAGAAAGAAAAATTGGACATGCGCTCGATTTGTCGCATAACACTACTTTATTTGGCTATCAATCAATGCACTTACCATGAACAGGCCACCATGATACATTCTCTCTTTTTTTTTCTTGTTTAGCTTGACTAATTTTTGAAGAAGCTCGGGGTTCGTCTTCCTTGTCTATCACTTGACTCTGTCTTTGCTGACTTCCATTTATCTACCCAAACTGATGACTCTATACATGGAAGAAGAATGTCGTACTGATTCCTTCTTATAGGTCTTGGCACTCTAATAGAACGATTCACCGCGTTAGTCTCTCACACTACATTACTACGTTTTGCTTGTGGGTTACCTTGTAAAGAGCGGCGACTCTTGTTATTGATAAGACAGGAAGAAAATTTAAAATAAAATACTGGTCTTTCGTATAAATATTTCATTTTGTCACAATTAGGGTCAATGAAACACTACGACCTTGAATGAAAGCCAAGTAGCAAAAATGAACTTCTTTATTATTTTGAATATCATTGCAATAAATGTAGTTGCTCTCTTTATAATATATGTAGTGTAATTCTCCAGTTTTGTCCAAGAAAGTGGAGCGAAGCTGCAGATCTTGTAGTTCCTTGGTTAAGGCCTCATCTTGCTTGATAACGCTAATGAACTTCTTGAATTTTTCCCTGCTCCATCGTTCAAAGGCTGCAAAGGAGTAAGGAATTACAATAGCAAGAGTCCCGTACTTAAACTGCTTGAACAAGACATGGAGTCTTTTACCAGCAGCTTTTAATAGTCTGGTCTGGTACTTACTATGTTGACCGTCTATTGAAAGAAGGTTAAATTTTTAAAGTATGCAGTAGGCCATGTATGTTTTACCTTTAATTGTTTGCATGTGTTTCTTGTGTAATCCTTTGCCTTGTAATTGTGACTCTTCCAAGAAACAGAAGAAGTGATAGCATCCAACGTATTGGATACACTTTCGCAACACATAGTATGTCTGACCGGCATTAAAATAAAAGAAGATGTCTTTTAAAAACTTGTCTATATCTTCGTGCTGGGTAGTTTAGGTCAGAGTAGGCATTTTTAAAACTCTAATCGCCTTAAGTCGAAGTTCCTAATTTAAGATAGACATGTTTTGTCTAATCGCCACTGTGGGCGTTACAATTGCATCAGCCTCCTTTGCAGAGGTGGTAGGCACCTGTACTGGTGTGACCACATTGGTTTCATCGGATTTTTGAGTGTCATTTTAAAACGAGGCCTCGTCATCGACGTACGGGTTGGTGGCGTACGATTTCTTTTTCTTACCGGAAGAGCTACCGTCTTGGTTTTCTCCGGTCATTCTTTTTATTGGCACTGCCATCGGTCTCCTCCCAATTGGCAAGGCCGTAGATTGTTCTGATTATGTACATCTTAATATATATACATTTTTAAAATAAACAAAGAGCTCACCTTCTTCGGTTGGTAATTGAATGTTTGACATTCTCAAACCTTGACTAATAAGATGGCATGGTTTTCTGGATCTAACAAAAATAATTGGTTATCTGTTACAAGATGATTGGTTTACCTTGTACTTACATTCGCTTTTGATACTAACATGCACGTTATTTAATTTAGTTATATATGCTTTTTTTGTGTTTGATGTCGAACAATAAAAAGGGTGAAAGATAAAGGAATTTGACGTCCATCACCACCTTTCAATATGCATTTTGGATTCAATCGCGTACCTGTCGGAAAGCGACTTTTTGTATGTAGGTGCAAAAATCGAATTATTCTGTTTTTCTTTTTCGCGTTCTTCTTTTAATAGTAGCCAAGAGCTATATTAAATACTATCGCTACTTTACTATCAGAAATAGCTGTTTTATGTCTATTCCACGATCATTGTATACGCACAAAATGGTAAGAAAAAAACCGATAAGCATTCATCGTTTTACGTTTCAAAAGACGGGTGAGATGTCTAAATTAAAAGCATTTCGTTGTCATCTTATAGCCTTAGATTGGATCGAAGTCGGGTGTTAAAAAATTACTGTCTGCTCTTTTTGTTTCTTTCAAACGACGGGCTTTCCCTATGCTCCCCAGCTTTAATATTTTAGCACTAATAACGTTTGATAACTATCAGCAAAACATTTTATAACTAAATATTTAAACTAATTGCTTATGTTTCAAAGAAATGTTACAATCGTTCGTCTGTCAGAAATCTGTAGCAAAACGTTTTTAGGGGTATAAAATTTTAATTAAAAAAGAGCAAAACGTTTATCAGGTTCAAGCTTAGGGACAGGTTATATTAATTGCTTTCCATGAGAAATGATTCGTATCGCATTATTTGGTATATAAGACATGGTATCGAAATACTTAGTCAGGTTAATTATAATGCGCACAAAATACAACATTAGGACTAGACACCTGTAGTGATATACTTTACAAGGAGTTGCGTAACTTCAACACAGGCAATTATTATGTTAGGTAAGACTTTACAGGAGATTCCATGGCAACCAAAATAGTAAACTTCTGTCTTTTTGGACATTCCTTGCACACGTGATTAGGCGGAATAATAATCAGGAGTATGATTATATTAAGTTTATGGCAAAGATTGCGTAAAAAATAATTGAAAATGGGTTTATTTTTCTAGCCATAAAATTTTCAGCTCAATATACAAATAGGCCTTGGACACAATAATTGACCTTCTGCTATTGCAGTTTTTGTAACAGCTCCATATATTTTGAAATAACGAACACTATAGGCACGTTTTAGCAATTAAACATCGACCAGTCAACCGACCGGTCAAAAAATAATTTACGAACGGTCAACCTGCCGATCGAAAACTGAAATACGATCGGTCAGCCCGCCGGTTGATAGTTAGAGGACTGTCATCAACCGTCTATGTTTCAGTTGCAGATAATCATGCAAAATGTCTGAGACCATTATTGAAACCCGACCAGCCCATTGGTCCTGTTCGACCTGTTCCACCTGTTCCCTGTTCTCTGCCTCCTGTCACACATGTCACTGTCAAACATCACTATTGTATCCTGTCTAACGCCTGTGTTCCAAATAATGTATCCCCGTTGTCCCTTGTGCTTGTAAAACCATTTAACATGCGTTTCCTTGGTACCTCTGCCTTTGAACTCCCTTATAAAACATTAATAATATCAGCTCATGTTATCCTCTGTATCTATCTGCGAAATTATCTGTGTTCCTTCCCGCTGCGCCAAAAATGTCCCAAACTAAATATGGCCGTTCCCAAGCAAACTTTTCTTCAAAAACATATCGCTCGATTTGTAAAAAGGTTTGGTCCCCCCAGTATAAGTACTAGCTTATAATTTTAGTATACTGACGATAGCAATGTGGCCCATATACAACCAGTAAATAAGACATGCTAGTTTAGTAATTAGAAATATTATTTTGAGTCATGTCACACATTTTTTTACTTTTTGTAATTTATAGCCCCCACCTACGAGGGTATAAATTACTAATTTGTAAATTGTTCAACCCCCCATAAATTTTGGCTGGTAAAATGTTTTTTTATAGTTTAAATTACTATTTTGAGCTAAATACTTTTGTTCCCAAAACGTAAAAAATTTTGGCTTGGGAACGGCCTATGACTAATAGTCTGTCTTTGTTAATCTGATCCCCCAACCTTTGTTTACCCAATCTGTCAATAAAGATAAATAACAGCATGTTTATTTATTCTTATTTCTGTATTCAAGATCTTATCTATTTTTCCCGCTCCTCTGAATAAACCTTTTTCTACCTTCATTCATTTATATATGTATTAATACTAATAGATATATAATGTCTGTTTCTTTTGTCCTCACCCTAATAATTTTTCTGTTCTGCTCTTGCCCCGATCCACTCCTCACAGGCCTACTGATTGAACAGGTTATCTTGATTAATTTTGTTTATAGCTCTGTTCAATACACCAATACTAGAACCAGACTCCAAAGCAATGACACCATTAGAGCAGCATTGGACTAAACGAAAATGTGGTAGACTCAAAAATGGGTTACATGTTTACAATAAAAATGTTTCAGTAAAGGTTATGAAAAAAAAGGGTTTAACATCTTATAATAGTGATAATAGCTTATATATTTCCTATGAAGCGCTGTTAACCGGATCCATAACTTAATAATAACAAAAAACAGAAAAATAAAATTGTTTGGAAAGTCTCCCTATGAATCAGTATGTGATGCCATTACACAAAATACGAAAACCTTAAACGGTTACGATACTCTGGAGGGCACTGTATATACGTTTTTGAAATTCACCGCACGTTTAAGGATGTTCTGTTATGATTTGCGACTTACCTTAGATGTGAATATAGCTCAGATAATCCCCATACAAGTTTAGAATACTTGAACCATTTCGGAACCGTTTCTAATTTCTTATAATGTATTTTGGTCATTGGTTTAATGAAATCATGGAACCCTTAAGTATCGGATCTGTAGGGATAACGGACCGGAGTACCCTAAAGTTAACGGATTTTCAGGGATAACGGACCGGAGTACCCTGAAGTCAACGGATTTTCAGGGATAACGGACCGGAGTACCCTGAAATTAACGGATTTTGAGGGATAACGGACCAGAGTACCCAAACCTATTGGATTTTGACGGATAACGGACTAGAATTCTCAGATTTGTATGATTTAGGGCCGTCGCAAGCACATCAAACTATTTTTTAAAGATCCCGATTTAGGACATTAAGTTGTTTTTCTTTTTTTTTTCTTTTCTTTTTTTTGTGAAAGGTTACTTCAGACTTCCAAAAGAAATCTTTTTCTGAAATCCATGACGTTGCTTTTTAAATGACCCAATTTGAATGATTAATAATAAAGTTTTTGCAGATTACTAAAATATCTGTTCCTTTATTTTTTAAAGACAAAACATCAGTTTAACCGATTTTTTTATTATTTTAAAAATATAAAAATTACAGTTTAAGAATGATGAGCCCAGAACAAATTGCGTTTATCGTGTCTCAGTTGCAGCTCCTTATAGTTCGAATGAACGAAGAATCTGAATCTCTCGAAGAAGATAGAATAGAAATTCTTAATTCTACTGGACAACGCCTCGTGGAAAACATGAAGACTCTTCATTCCACTGGAGAACTTTACCATGCAGAACGTCTCCAATATAATCTTATTGCCAGCAATTACCGCAATCAATATGGAGTTTCTATTAACAATCTCCCCATTTTCATGATGGGCGAACGTGTAGAAAGAACAAGAACAGTAATTAGTGCCGATGGTAGACGTGAATCGCGTCGATACCACTTTTGGAGATTGGAACACCCATTCCTCAATGACAATGACGAAAACCAGGTCAGTAGTTATCGCGCCAACTACGGTATGGGTAAGCGTGCTTTTGAGCATTTGGTGAACGAGCTTTCGGCACACGAAGAATTCAATCTTGTCGCTCCCAATACTACTCCGATTTATAACCAAGTCGCAACGGCTTTATTTCGGTTGGCTAATTGCCATATCGGATATCGTCAAGCGTATATGCATTTGGGTGTTTCATCAGGTAGTTATACCAACTTCACCACAAGAACACTCAAAGCAATTAAGGATCAACTTGGTCATTTATTGACATGCCCATCAGACCCTATCAGAGCCAATGCCATTGCTGTCGGTTTTGGGAGTAGCACTGGGGATTGATTGAATGATGTGATTAGTGCTGTGGATGGTAAGAACTTTATCATTCACCAACCTTCCCCTCCAACCGTGGGTGCTATGTTCAGGGATAGAATGAACAACTATTCCGTGAAGCTTACTGCCGTATGTGGTTCTGCATTACGATTCAGGTATATCAAAGTGGGTGACTCAGGTATTGTAGTATAATGATCTACGATGAAACAATATAAAAGCTAACACAACAATATTTACTTCAGGAAGAACGCATGATGCTGCCGCTTTTCGATCAAGTGATGTAGAGTGAAATTCTTCGCCACCCAGACATTCACTTTCCTGACAACACGTTTATGATTGGTGACTCTGCCTATCCTTTGAGACCCAACTTGATCACACCATTTCCTGAGAGTCAATGCGTGTTAGACAGTCGCAAGCGTACATTCAATCGTTTACATTCATCTACAAGAATGGCGATCGAAAGAGCCTTTGGTGTGTTGGTGGCTCGTTGGAGATTTACTGGCAAGTACATTTACATGTTGGACCAGTTGAAGATCAACGAGATGATTACCGGATGTTGTATTTTACACAATATGTGTATCGACCTTGGTGATACCGGGTTTACCGACCTTGTTCACCTTCAAGATCATAATGCAGCTGTTCCTGAAGATGAAGACTCACCTGATGTAGGCGGTAGTAGCAGAAGGATTACCATTTTTGAGGGATTGATGAGACGTAGAACTAGACGTGGGGCGGCTAGAGGGGGTTGAAGAGCAACTAGAAGTAGAAGTAGAAGAAGAACTAGACTTAGAAATAGAAATAGATAAGTATAGAAACTTTTTGTTTTATCCAATTTTATTTAAATGATATTATCTGTAGAAGGATTGGGAGAAGGGGGATTGTTGTTGCTGGTGGTAGTGGTAGGTGTGGGAGCACGAGTGGCATTGTTGTTTTGAGCAATTGAAGCAGCAAAGAAATCTACCATTCGGGACATGGACAAAGTAGCCTCTCTTACCAACTCAGTATTTTGTCGTCTGTAATCGTTGTTATGATCCAGTTGATTTCGTCGGTATGCATCTTCTTCAACCATACGAACAATATCTGCCTCTCGTTCAGCAGCAATACGTGCACGATCGGTATTCCTTTCTTTAATTATACCAGCACGATCAGCTGCTCTCTCAGCCCGGCGTTGAGCTTCCATTTGGTCCATATGGTTTGGCATAAACCACATTGACACACTTACATTACGTGGACGTCTTGCATTTACCTGAGGAACGACATCCTCATCCTCATCCTCTTCATTATCATTATCGACTTCTGAATGACCACGACTTCTACACAACCAGGTGTAAACTTTAAAATTTCAAGACCATTTTTTTCCCAAAAAAAAAAGTAAAAATAGATATGAAAATTGTTTCCTTTTTGGTTTTGTGGTTTTGTTTACGTTTCCTTGCTGTACAAACAAAACAATAAAATACAAATACAAAATACGAAAATAGTTTTTCTTTAAAATTGCCTTAAAAAGCGAAATTTATTTATATAAAAAATTGGCCCACAAAATCAGAAACCGGCAAAAAGCGCCTGTTTGCCCCTCGGGGCTACGCAGGCCGACCAGGCAGGCTATTCAGCCTTGACAGACAGGGCAGACCACGTAGCCCAGACAGGCCACGTATGACACGTATAGCAGACAGTGAATTCAAGCTAGAAAACCCACGCAAAACTGATTCTGTTTGAGCTGAAGCTACGGAAAAAGGTATTAATGTGATATTCAAGTGTCTGTGGTAGATATTGTACTTACATTTTATCCGTGCTTAAGCAGTATCACGAGCTAATTTATAAAGTGAATAATGTGTTTAGTAAAATGGATAATGATTAATGTTAAAATTATAGTACCTTGTATGAAGCTTTACGCGATATATCTATTGACAAATGAAACGCGTTATGTATTAGTTTAGGATGTAAAATAATCACCAAGATATTACTTACGGTATTTCAAAGAGTAAAGAGCCTCTAAAAAATAAAAAGGCGTTTGTTAGTGATATATTATTACAGGGAAGCACAGTACAGAATAAAGTATACCTTTATAGATACACATCTTGAAAGTAAAAGGGGATAGAAGATTATATTATCGCATAAGTCATGAAATAGCTACCTTTTTCGCGTTTGACTTTGATTAAATTGACTGTGAGAAAAGAATTAGTAGAATGCCTTATGATAGTATTGTTAAGACAGATGTTCTATGACATACCATTGTTCATAAGCATCATAATATTACAAGCAATAATCACGCGTTTGTGAAGACACGCCACGGTTGAAAAAAAATACGTAAGAGAAAGAAAAGCGACCTAAGAAAGTTGGGTTGCGTGACAAAATATCGTTCCGCAATGACGTTTGTAAATTATTGCACCAATCAAATTGACAGCTTATGTCCGCATAAGCTAAGCATTAAACACATTTTTTGATCTGAACGATATATAAACCAAAGACAATCCCCAGAGTGCACTTTATCAAAATTCTTTATTTTATTATAAACAACTTACTTTAATTTTAAAACACTATGAAAAAAACACCTGGAACAAATAAGTTCCGTGCAAAACCTGCTTTACCGCCTCAGGAGCAAACGTGTGTGTTATGTAAATACAGTACAATTAATCGACACTCTTTTAAAGTGCATCAAAGATCAGGACACCACTTAGAACTTCTGGAGGCGATTCAGTCCAATCAAGGATCACTACCTGCCAATGACATCGAACAACAGTAAGTGAGCGTCTTCTTCAATTTAAAAATAGTCAGTTTGTACTTATCATTATTATTTTTAGGAATACCTCTGACGAACAACCTACTATCCCGCTAAGCGAATCTCGTAGTTCTGATATGGAGTCCATTGAAAGGTAAAGTTATTTAAGGCTGTTAAATATATTCAAATTACTTACATCAATATACATTAGACCAATCCAACCTGAACGCACTGCCGAACCATTGTCTGAACCTGCAAATGAATTTGATGAAAATCAATATGATGATTATGATGGTGACGGTGATGATGATGGGCGTGATGATGGTGAAGAAGAATTCGATGGTGGTAATGCCTTTGACCATTTCAACAATGATTTTAACAACGGAGGGGAATCTGATGATGATAGCGAATCTAATGAACCTCCCGTTCCTGTTAACGACGTCAACAACGGCTCTAATGGTGATGGTGGTGATGATGGTAATGATGAATATCTTGATTTGAGTGGTGATGTCAACGACAATCCAGCATATCCTTTCAAAAATGAATACATAATGCATGCCCTTCTTTTCTTCAAGTCTGGTAGCTTTAAGTATTCAGAAGTCCAAATCAAATCAGTTCTTGATTTTGGTAAATATATGGCTGAAATTGCAATCAAAGAGTACAGAGCTCAACTAGCTTTGGATCCTTCTGATGTTATTTATGATTTCCGTGGCTATCCCACTCCCCACAGCGTTTCCAGATTTCACAAATCCAAGAAAAGTTGTATACCTTGTTTTCCTCATGCTCCCCATTGTGCGAAAGATGATAACGGCGGACTTCTTGTCGAACCTACTGAACCTGCCACATCAACTAGCGCATCTGGTACTGCTACAGCAGCTGACGCCTCTGCTCCTGCTCCTGCCTCTACCTCTGCTCCTGCCTCTACCTCTGCTCCTGCCAATACCTCTGCTCCTGCCAATACCTCTGCTCCTGCCACTGATCCTGCTGCAACAA